TCTTTAGCTCTGTCTCTCTCTATCTTTCTTTCTCTCTCTGTCTGTATTTTACTCGTCATCTTCCCCTCTCTCTCTGTCTCTCTTTAATAGGTATTAGCATTTGTAGTTTTAGCTATTTAAATACATAAAGTAAATCCTTTATGCTTTCCCATAATCCTAGACGGAGATGCACATCTAGGGACGCCCGAACATCTTAAATGAGTCTAAGATCTGATAGAGTTGCAACAATGATTGGGGCATTAAGAAAACGTATTTCCAAAGGATAGAAGCTGAGTGGAAGGAACTTAATGCCGCTGTCAAGCTGTGATGGCAAGGACTTTGCACCATGGAATTCATTCAGCTCAGGCAAAAGCAATTGAGCCACGTATTTGTTGGCGCATTAACAGGATGGATACCCCTTTCGAGTCAGCAATGAGAAGCTGGTCAGGGCGGTCGGCTATGGGAATGGGCGAGGCAAGCCCAAACAAATCTTGGCTGTCACAGGGCCTGAGTTGCGGCATTCAATTGTGAAATGAATGCGGATCTCCCACGGCAGTCGGCTACGTGTTTCAGGATATGAAACATATCTCCGGTTAGCAGGCAGGACATTTCCTGTGCCAGCCGCATAGTCATGTACACACAGCTGTCATAAATCGCATGTATGAGTCGCTGTTGGGATTTTGCGGCAGGATATTGCCAAAAGGATGCGCTGCCATTACCTCCGCCTGTGGTGGCCGTTCAGCCGTTCAGTATAATGTTTTGATGGGCATTTGAATGTAGGCGCATGTCATTTGGCTTGGACAAAAGCCTTGAGTGCCAGCCGACTCGCGCCTCTCCCAGCCATCCGTATTGATGGCGAACATTTCAATTGAGTGCCCAATGAGACACCTGACACTTAAGCGCCAGCGACTGGATGAAGGCGTTCGCCTGACAAATGAGACAAAGTGACACAAGTCAATCAAAGCGTCCAAAATGCGCGTCACTTATAAATTCCATTGCTGCTGCTGCTGCTGCTGCTGGTGCAGCTTCCAACCAATTTACTGCCCATGGCCACCAAAAAAAGAAAAAAGAAATACCCAACGACCTGGCCGTGGAACTGCGGCCCCTTGGGGCAGAAATATATTTAAATCAATTCCGTCAGCACGCAGAGCAGCGAGCAGCCAGGCGATGAGGCGCAGGCCAAAGCTAAAGTCTACCCAATGTGATGGACGCATTTAAAATGTCAATACGCATTGACTTCAAGCTCGGACGACGATGGATTCCACGATGCGGACAATGTGGCTATGCCCGAGACTGACTCTAACTCTGAGACAACGACTGAGATAGCGACTTCGACTGCGGCGCGTAAGCTTGAAGTCATTCAAGTGGCGGAGACAATGAATCCTGTCAAATCAAAATAACAACAAAGGCAACGTAAGGCGTGCGAGAAACGAAACATGAACAGGAGACCTGCGGACACCCGGACACCCGGACAGAAAGACACCCGGACACGCGTAAAGGGCAAAGGCAAAGCTCGGGCAACCACTCGCGACGCCCAAATCCATTAGAGTTAAATAAATTTTGTTTTTGAATTCAATTTACGTGTTGCGAGTTAACTAGACAGAAATACCACTTGGCTTGAGCGTGGGCAGCTCGAGAAGTTGCAACTTACGCACTTTCTAAATCTGATCAGAATATGAGCCCAGCTACAACTGCTGCCTACATGCATATATAGCATACTTTTGGATGCAAGACTCGAAATGAAATTGCTTCTTATTTCATTTATTAGAGACTATAGCTCTTCGCTCTGCCTTCTCTTTGTTCAGAACACTGCCTGAAGTATATATAGAAGTCATTCACAATCCGATGAGCAACTGCAATTGCTGAACTGATGAAGTGCTATGGAACTATCCTATCGCAACTCAATAGATCTCTGTCGCCAGCGATTTGTTTAAGATAATTATTCAGTTGTGCAGTCTCTCATTATATTTATGCCTTATTCAATTATTGTTACTCAGCTTCGAGTTAAGAAACCATATGTAACTAAGGATCTAATTGAATCGTTCATGAGCGAATGAATACTGATTGAACAAGTTGTATTGCTAATATATCACTGAACTATCAATGAGCACTCTAGAATATGGTGTCTTCATGCAATCTGCAATTAAATGATATTGACAATAGTTCTAAATGTTATAAAACTACATTTTATTTACGATTTAGATAAAGATGCTTACACCTTAAATATCTTAAATTGATGTCATGCATTCAATAGATAGTCTAACCCACATCAGTATGTATCTTACTCCAAAAGCAGTAGGGATATGTGATTAACAGCCAGCTAAGTTGAGCTGCCGATATGCATCAGCTATGCAACTGCGCAGCTGGCCAACATTGTGAATTATAGCCTTGATGGATAGAGAACGTGAGGCATTTGCTCTGTGGCGGTGGCCAAATAGTTGCCAGGAGCCATCGAGCAACCCTCGTCAGGTATTCAATGCCGGACACATAATTTTGCAGCTCAGCGCTTCAAAAGCTCATGCCGTCCCCAGCTCCCAACTGGCAACCCCCAATCCTCGGCCCCAGTCCGCAGGCCGCTGCAGGGGCGCAGGCAACGAGCTGGCGACAAGTGATGAGTGAATGCAAAGAATTTGAATATTGTGCCGCGGCGGCAGTTGACATAAATCGTCAATGACAGCGACATCGCCTCCTTTTGGGCCTGAAACACGCAACGAGGGAGCTGAGGGGCGAGCTGGCTCAACTGTGCAAAAAGGCCGACAATCAACGTGCTGGCCGCAGAACACGACAGACAACTGTAATCCGCTATTGTGATTGTGTACAGACGCGGGCGCAGGCACAGGATCAGGAGCAACCAGGGATGGAGGGGCTTATCCCTGTTCGCTCGCTTGACCTGTCAGCGAGCTTCTCAAAATCAATTCTAATCGATTTAGGACATTTTGACAGCACTTATTGGCAGCATTCGCGTGGCCGTGATACTAAAAACACCTTCCAAAACTGCGGAATAAGCGGACATCGACGTCGGCGTCGCCGTCGACCCGGTAAATGTCAACAACATTTTGGCTTAAATAGCCGCAAGCCAAAAGTAAAAAGCAACAACAACAACAAAAAAGCCACCAACAAAAAACGAGAACAGGGCAGCATTATCATTATCTGAGTGGAAGCTGATTGAAAACAGATAATTAAAATCTTCTAATTAGCGGCATGTTCACGCACACACACATACACAACGTGTCGCCGCGTCGCCAGTGTGTCTGTGTGTGCGTGTGTGTTACCTTAACCACTGTCGGCTGTCAGCGAAAACAAGTTCATAAATCTTGCGCCCAACAAATCGTTTTGCAACATGAAAGAACATTACATACATATAAGAAGAAGCCAAAGCCGAAGCCAGAGCCAGCCACAACATCCACAACAAAAGACTCAAGGAGCAAAAACTGTCCACTTCATTTAGTGCGCAGCTCTGTGTGTGTGTGCCTGGACTGCCGAAACATGTGAAAGGCTTTGTATGGGAGCTCCCCTGGTTTCATTTCTTTTTTTCTTTGCCAAAACGTTTAATAAACAAGATTCCCATGTCGATTATCACAAATTAGTCACATTAATTATAAGTGAAGGCAAGGATGCAGGATGATTTTATCTCATTTAAGAAAAACTGGAAGCACCTAAAGGATATCTGCCCATGTGATTCCAACTGTTCTAAACGCAATTTAACCACGCGCCAAGCAGTTTCGTTCTATCTCTATGAAATAATAGCTCGTCGATTCTGCAAACTATGAATGAAAACATGCAGACTCGTTTCGCTGAAAACATATTTCAAATACAAGAATTTTGGTTCCGGCTCGAGAAGTTAAGAGCTTTAAGATTAATCACATTGATAAAGAAATGAAAGATGTATTAAGTGGCGAAATAGTTTGTCGAAACCTTAAATCTCTTTAAGCATTCAAACGAGTAAAAACACAACTTTGATATAAACAAATTAATTTTATTTAAAAAAAAAATGTATACATTTTAGAAATAAGAATGCTAGAAATAGTCTTAAAAAACATTAAATTTTAGATCAAGTATTTAGATATAAATATAAATAATAAAAATGCAGAATTTAAATTCAATTTACTACTTTTACCTGTAAGGAAAAATTATTTAATGTTGCAGTCCAGTTTTAGGAGAAAATCCGTTCAATAACCGAAGCATTCTTATTAGCAAGCAACTTCTATAGACATTATCAGAAAATTAGTGTTGGAGGCTCATTGCTAATCCAATAAATTCAATAGCTCATAACAACATTTATTCACTATTTTCAACACAAAATAGTTTGTGATTAAAAGTTGTTGCATACTTTTTAGCTAAAGAAAAAAGACTTTACTGCTCCAAAATATTAAATACCGCATGTAGAACAGTTGCTAGCTGATCTAAATCTTCTATTAGCTAAATACCATCGATACAAAAAATGGTGCATACTTTTAAGCTGTCAAATAATAATAATCCACATATTTCATACAGCATGAGACTCATTCGAACACATATTTCAAATGCAATATGTAACACTTTTATATTTTACTTGAAAATACTTATATGTATACACACTTTGCATCATTTTTTTTTCTCATTATACTAAGCATTTGATCTAAGGTTGGTGTGTCTAACCGAAAAAGCGTTGCATACTTTTAAACGACCAGGATGTTAAGCAGAGTTAAGAACCAAATCTGTCGATTATTGATATTCGATGTTGATGCTTAGCAGAGTTAAGAACCAAGGCTGTCAATTATCGAAGTGCGATGTTTTTTGCACAAAATACTAACTGGACTTTTCTAATTGGCATTGAGCATGATTTAAATAAATTAAAAATAAGCTTATCAGAATTTTATACACTATAAAAAAAAGCAGATTTTTCTTTAAAAATCTGTGCATTGAAATTGCTTAGACATACATTTTTGAATAAATTCAAAATTCACCTATGGATCATATGAAAGAATATTTCGTATTTCCGATTAAAATATCCCCAGACTTAAATATACATTAATCTTCATTTATTATAGTCTCATAAAACTCGACATGTACAACAACTTAAAATATATGGCGATATCATAGTCATTCGAAAAACCTCACTTTCAATCTTATAAACAAAAATACCGAAGTCAGCATCAATCTATGATACAATCAATTAGGCCGTGCGCTCGAAGAGCAGAGGGAATGGCTTATCCTGCGGTGCCTGCAGCCAGTTGCCCTCGGAATACTTCACATTGTTTTCAGTCTCAATCACGTGAAAGGTGTAGGCGTGGCGACTCTTCTGAGAGCGATTGGGCTCGCTCTTGTGCACCACATTGCCATGGATGACGATGCATGTGCCTATCAAGGAATTGCAGCACATTAAAATGGTATTGCGGACGTGGGCTCAGCTGCAGCTACTCACCCTTGCTCACTTGGAGCGGCGTAAAGCTGGATTGCGGATAGATGGGCGCTGCGCGATCATAGACCATCAGCTCGGCTGCAGTGGGGTCGGGATTCCGTTGGTAGCGACGGTGCACGCCACTCTTGTGCGAGCCCTTGATGAACTGCAGACAGCCGTTCTGCAAGGTGCAATCCTCTAGGGCAAACCAGAAGCCCACCGCCGAGTTGGGCTCTGTGTGCAGGAACCAGGAGTCTTGATGTGGGGTCACCTCGCCGCCAATGCCGGAATTCTTGTAGATGTACATGCTCTGGCATACGGCCGGGCGATTATAGTTCAGCTGCCAACAGATCTCCTTGACACGATTGCTGAACGTCAACGCATTGAAGGTCGGGTGCTCCACATGCAGCGCATGGCCCACTTTGTTAAGGGCGATCATCGGATCCACAACCAGCTGACCCTCATCCCCAATGGCGCCCTGTTCGAAGAAGTAGCGTACCTTGTCGCCGGACTCCATGAAGTACAGCTCCTTGCTGTGCGCATCCTCCGCCTTGATGGTGCTAAAGATTTTTCGATTCGACTGTGGCGCATCCAGGCAAAGTGCTCGCCCGGCCTGGTACAGCGTGTCTACCTCCTCCGGCTTCAGAAAGTCCTCTATGACAATGTAGCCATTCTCGTTAAGCTGTCAATAGAAAGCATAATTTGCCTGTTAGTTGTTGCTACAAGCACTTGAAACAAGCGGCATAAGCGGGTGAAGGTCCGCATTGATTCATAAAGTTCTGGGCTTATCTCTGCGACGTCTGGTCTGCGTCTGGCTTCGCACTCCCGCCCACCACACACAGACGCACACACTATCAGCTTGACCGACTGTGTAATGGGCACGCGCGTGCAATGCAGCTATCTGCCCTATCTGCCCTATCTCCCCAGGGATAAGTACACTTAACCTTCAGTCCACTTCCCTTTGTATTCCATTGTCAGCTGCGGCACCTGCTAATTAACAAATTTGTAGACACGCCAATGTAGTCAGACTCTGAATTTGACATGCAACAAATGCGGACGGACTAAATTCGTGGCTATTCATTGAAATCACTCAATGTGAAATTGAAATTTCACACATTCTTAGGGTATTGTCATTCTATCATCTGCTCGCAGTGAGGCGAAAGGTATTTGCACTTTGTTGTGCCATACGTAACAGACAAAGTTCTAGATGAGTCTCGAGAGTCCGCTTCCTAAAAGGGTATTCAAAGATCTACTTGGCCAGAAGATCGAAATTCACTTCTGTTGTGGGCGCTCTCTTAGTTTCATCAAATAAAAAAGTATATTTCGAATGGCTTGAGCAAGCAAACGAAAAGCAAGAGTATAAATAGTCGCAGTGATTCAAAGGCACCAACACACCTGCACTGATCATTGGAGGGGTCAGCCTCCCCGCCTTTTGATGAATACGCCAACAAATGCCCGTGCAAGTGTCAAGCAAATGGGACTGCCAGATGAGACTTATGCCTGTCCAAGTGCCCAGCTCGTGGAAAATTATGCCTCGCGGGTCAGCCAATTGGCTTCACAATGTTATGAGACGCTGCTGCAGCTGATTCCGCAATCGACAGCAGTTTCTCTGTGCAAGTGCATTCCGCTGAATTGACAGCGGATTGGGCAAGGGGCTCGTTATGCAGCTCTGCTGGCTGTTAACTCATCGTTTGTTGAACTAGAACTTGCATAAGTCCGCGACTGTTTCTGTGTAGTAAGGCGTTTGCATAAGAGCAGTTGAGAACGCTTTGAGTTACACTTGATTAGCGCTCGAGTTGACTTTTGCTGGGCATAAATATGCATGAATCTAGACTGCTCAGAGCTGGCTAACCAGTATACTAATTTAATGCCATTTGGGCAAGGCTGACCACAAGATGTTTTAAGAATTGCCCCCAATACGCAGACATGAGTATGTATGAATGGCTGGAGATTAAATTTGAGCAGAGCAAAAACATTTCCTCAACTGGCCATCTCAGTCTTTGTTCCCAGGCAATAAAGGAATGCTTTTCCGCAGTTGGCTTTTCCGCGAACCGCACTAAAAGGCGACGCATTGGCTGCCAATGTTTATGATGCTGATGAATGTAAATAGACCCATGACACAAAGGCGTGCACAAGAGATCAGGGGAGGGACCTGATGACTAAGTAACAACGAAGAGTGTAATCTCTCGGTGGGAGCCCAACGCGTCTATCGATAAGTAATTGGTCACAAATCTTTTGCCAACAAAAATAGACACAAAAGCCGGCAAAAAAAACAAACTTTTCGGATCTTATAGAAAGTACTCAAAATGCTGATGATGAATAGATGAATAGACATACCTCATCCAAGAGTTTGCTGTGCATTATGCTTCACTTTGTTTTGCTTCTTGTTTCAATTAATCAACAAAATGTATTTTGGGTTTGTTTTTGTTATTGTTTCTTCGCCCAATAATCGTGTGCTTTTCAGACGAGGCGCTCCTCCAAAGTTCGACAGCGAACGTTTTGCTCTGTTTCGCGTACGTTTCAAAACTGTTTCGCTTTTTTGAAAACAGTATCTGAAGCACCCAGCTATACCAGGCAGAACACTCGAACAGTCGAACACTCGAACAGTCGAACAGTCGTACACTCTAACACTCGGCCTGATATGCGCTTCCCACACGACGCGTCGGCTGGTGAACAGTTCTATACACACATGTGTATTCTTAGCATATGCTCTCGATCGCCGCTCTCTCTCACTCTCTGCTTCTCGTCCGTACGCTCGACCTCCCTTTCTGGCTGTTACTATGGGTCTCCGTCTCTGTTAGCAGTGATGCCAGCTCAGCCTTTGTCCGTTATATTTAGCCTTTTTTTTGCTATTATCAATTATGCCTCATGTTTCTGTATTTTTACATGATATTTTATATTACTTTGTACAATTATGTTAGATAGTTGTAAAATAATATATTTCAGCCATGGCATATCCTATATAATTTTGAAAATATACTATAACACGTTACCTGATATCGTATTTTTGATTTTATTTATACTTGTATCTATATACTAAATTCCTTTTATACCGTAAACCTATTGGAAATGCGAAATCAGGGTATAGTTGTTGTGTTAAAACGTATGTAAGTGGCAGAAGGAGGCGTGTAAGAGTGCATAAAGTATATATATTGTTGATCAGGACGACATGCCGTATCGATTTACCCCTGTCCGGCTGTCCATTTGTAGGTCCGTGTATAGCACGCGCATATCAAGCTTGTTTTAAATTTACGAGCTTGATTTAATTTTTACGAGCTAGAGCCTTCAAATTTTGTATTTAGAGTTATGTATATTTTATACAATTTTGATTTTTGTTATATTTTGTGTGCTGACTCCAATAGTCTGCATTTCACTAAGTTGACGAGTACTTCAATAGAATATGTAAGTCATATGATGATTATGATTATGTAAACGATGTTGGTTCGAGTCATCGTTCGAGTCATGTCTTAATGTCGGCCTTTATTTGCCTTTTGTTTAATGCTCGATACGAGCTATGAAAAATATTAGAAAACTAAGATATTAGTGTGTTCGGGGTATCTCCTAGTCGGGCACCGCGACTAGTGCTTTCTTATTTGTTATAAATCATTTTTCCATTTCCATTTACAATAATAGAATTTGCACAGAAAGCAAAAATGGATTTAGTTTATTTGAAAATTTGACATATATCAATCAAAATAAATTTTGGCTTGAATATGTGGAAAATATCTATATCTATTTAAGATATCCATATAATAATTGATAACAAATCATTTTAATTTAATATGTATTTTTAAGGAACATGATTTAGGTTTAAGAAGTTATTACATTTATAAAGATTAAATATTTCTTTACAAGTGTCTTGTTTAATTATTTATAATAGAATAGAAAAACCCAGAAGAGATATGAATATTATTAATAATAATTCTGAACAAGATTATTGTAATCAAAATGAAACAAACTCTAAAAAAAAGTATATATAATAAAGAAATGAATCTAACTTGGAAATTAATATATATGTTAAATAAATTAATAAATATAAATTATTGTCTTAGTATGACCAATTACTAGGAATTGTTTATAATAAAATAATCATTTTTTCAATATCAAATTTTTTTTCTTACAGCTCAAGCTGTATCTATATCATTTTAGCGCCTCTAAATTGCCATCACTCGACTCTAGCTTGAGCTTGTGAAGTTACTAGATTCTAGTTGATTGTCACTCAGTGTCATTATTTCATTATGTAGAAATATCTATGAATTATTTTACATTAGTTTCACTTTAGCTTGACATTCCCAAATTTTTCTGGTTAATTCCGAAATTTCCTCAATGTGCAACAATTGTGCCTCACGTGGAATCCGCGTGTTGCATGCATGCATGCACATATGTACGTACACGTATAAGCATGTATGTTTGCTTGTGTTTGTGTTTGAGTTTGAGTTTGTGCATGCATTTGTAGAAACATGTTCATACAGGCATATATGTTTATTGCCTGGCTAATGCGCAGCGTCTTTTTACAACTTTATGTTGTCATATGGCAGTTAATTGCTGTGTATGCGTGGGTTGTCGTTTGCCGAGAAACAGTCGCTGTTGTAACTGTGATTTCCTCATCCCAAATATGCGAAAACTATTGTTAAGTAGCGGCATTTAAATATCTGAATATGTTTATATAATATGCAAGGAAAAGAGCGCAATTAAAAAGCGAATTATAAGCTGAATGTGCTGAGAGTCGTGCGATTGTAGGAATGCCAAACTCGAACAACATGAAACTGTATTTGTTGGAGTGGAAGTGGAAGAGCTTGGTAATAGAACTTGTATAGTGCTGTTGACCAAGTGCACACACAGCTCAAGTCAGCCAGCCAGCCAGCCAGCCAAAACTGAATGTCATAAAAAGTCGCATTGGAAATGCATGCAAAATGGTAAATTTTAGATTTATGCGAGGCGGCGAAAACTAATGGCATGTGGCTAATAATGTGGCACTGAGTCTTGCTTGGCCTGACTCAAATGCACTTACTTATGCTAGTGTGTGCAGTTAGTATTGCAGCTTTACACAAGATTAATTACACTAGCTCTGGCCATAAATAAGGCAAACAAGCACGCCACACACACACAACTGTCCGCCAGTCTAGAGTCGAGAGTCAAGACTCTTGAGTCGTAGCATTATTTGCAAATGCATGGTAGTAAAAATTTAAATTAGAAATCATTGCGGCCGCCGGGTAGCCATTCAATTTGATCAGCAGCAGCTCCTACATACATAATGACCGTGTTAGCTCGGTTGCCCTTGAATTGCAGATGACGATGGCGGCACCTGAACAATCAACTCATAAACAATGTGCAGCCGAAAGGTCCCAAGAGGCCAATAGACGCCCCCCGACGCGCTTGCGAATACAACGGCAGCAAACAACAGCCACAAACAGATGATCGGCCCAAGGTCAGAGAGCTTTTGGGTTCTTCTTGTCTGCTGCAGAGAAAGAAGCCAAGCTCTTTTGTGCGGCTAATTAAGTTAATTAAAAAAAAATTGAAGACACGCGATTTGCCTGAATAACAACAATTTGATAATATTTCAAATGTTTGTTTTTCGGCAAAAATTCGAGTTTTGTTTTGTTGATGCTGTGCTGCTGGTGCTGTGGCTGCGGCTGTGCCTGTTGCTAATGATGATGGCTCCAGCGTCTGGTCTGATTAGAAAATGTTGAGTCATTGCAGTCATCAAATTTAATATGCTGCCTTTCCAATTTGATATACCCTGTACAATGGACCCATTGTCTATACCTTATGCTATATATTGCTATATAACTAAAAATCTTCATTGGGGTGTTTCGATTTAAGCTTCGCACAAACTTCCTGCTTTGATGCTCAGTTTTATTTGTTTAAATATTTGCAAGCAATTTAATAAAAAATTTAATTAGTAATTAAAAAAAAACATTAAAATAAATTTACTAATAAAAAACCTGATAAACATATCTGAATACACAAGATAAAGATGGTTTCATATTTGAATCCGAAACACTTCCAAGAAAAACATTATGCGATTTGCGGTTTAAATTGGAAATTTAGTCTCAAGCCGCTCATTTATAAATACTATTTATAATCTCTATAAATTCCTCTATATAAACAAATAAATAAAAAATATATATAAATAGTATAGGGTAACTGTTAATCAAACACTCTGAACTAAGGCGCTGTGGCGCGTTGAACTGATATGTGTTTTGAGCATGTTTGTTTTGCTTTTTTTACAATTTTGATTAGAGATGTTTTTTATAGACGCGCCCCCTCCGGATTTGTGCAATTTGCTTGACCTTAGCGCGCTGAATATGTGAGCTGTTTGCCAACCAAATAGAAACAGTTTCGAAAGTTTGAATTTAGCTGTAACGACATCCCACGTGATATTCAAACGCACCAATAGCTGTGAATTGAGTGCAAAAAGTGAGTGCCGCCCGCCTGGCGGGAGAAAGGAAAACACTAGCAGCGGTACTAGACCGGGACAAGGAAACGAAAGCAGCCTTTATTATTACTAAATTTAATTTATTATTATTTAATGGGACGTTTTTCAATAGGCAATATTCACTTCCAATGCAGTTTGTTAAGACTGATATAATCTGTTGCAGCTATCAATGTTTTAGAAAGCAAATAAGAAGCGGAAAGTAGAAAATATATATTTAAAACTAGATTTTGAGCTTAATCTATATATATGTTCATGTATATATATGCCAACCTGATATACAGCATTCTTCATAAAAGTAGTACACAAAATGTTAACAATTTCCATTGAAAAAAATAAAAAGATGAACACTTATTATTATTATTAGAATATAATACAACGAAGCGAATTATGTGATAAAGTTGTCACTTTTTGGCCTAAAATTAAAATAACATGTGCATAAAAATAGTAGTGCTGAATATAAAAAATAAAAAAAATAAAATATAAAAATTGAAAATTTAAAAGAAACTTTATCCTCAGTAAGTGTAATTAATAAATTTCATTTTATTCATGCAAGTTAATTGGAATTGCTAAATTTAATTGTTAGACTTAAATATAAGGAAAAAAACTTCAGTTAGTGGACCAACATACTGTGGACAGATGAGAACAAAATAGTTACGTTTGGTTGCAGAGTGTCAAGAAAGTATGTACGAAGTCTACAATATACGAAATGTTATAGTGGACAAACATGTCTAAGTTCATTTATTTAAATTGTTATTGTTAAGTGGATAAAGTATATAAGAATCAGAAGTACATAGTATGAGGATATACATACATTTATATATATATGTATATACATACATATATCTATTTATATATATCTATTTATATCTGTAGCCTTTGTAGACTCTGCAGTTTCCGCGTTCCTATACATAATTTAAACCTTTACCAAAAATCACTTGAATGGTAGCCAGATTATGATTAAAATTCAGATTACAACAATTCCAAATCTATACAGATCCATAAAATTAGCATAATGTTCCAAAGTTCCAATGCAAACATTTATTGATCTGTTATTCTAAGTTGGGTGTTAATCTTTCCTGTATTTGGCTAGGTTCTATGTTAGTTTTTTCCTGAGCTTATAGAACCAAATATTCAATATGATTGTATTTATGATAGTATTCACATATATGG